GGGGGGTGCCGTCGGCTCCGCCCGGCCCTGCGGCGCCCGCTGCCAGCCCCGCCGCCGCCGCCGCTATTTCAGCCCTGCCGGCGGCGCCTCTAAACTTTGCCGGCCGCGCTCCGACTGAGAGCTGCGCGAGCGTTTCCACGGCGTGCCTGTTCGCAGTCATCCGGGGGGGTAGGGGGGGACAAGAAAACCCCGCTCCTGAAATAAACCCATAAACCCTCGTTCGAGCTAAAGAAGCACGGGTTTTGTTCAGGTGTTTTATTCAGTGCTGCGGAGCGATAGCTGTCTCTTCACCCTTTGCAGCCCGCCACAAAGGGAGGGTTACTTTATGCGAAGGGAGTTTTTAGCGAGGGAAATAGTTGGGGTAGGCCACCAATAGCAGGTCCTTCCCCATCGCTTGAAACCCACCAGAAAGAGGGAGGAAGGGAGGGGACCCAGCATCTACTTCAAACAAAATGTAGAAATGACCGTTTGAGACTGGGATGGACTGTCAGAGGCTCCTGCATCAACCAGTTGGTCCTGATCTCCTGGTTGGTGACTGCTGCTTTGCATGTTAGTTTTCCCCGGGCTCCTTCGCTCAACCCAGGCACTGCAGCAAGGGATTTTTTCTTTATTTAATTTTTGGTGGTTGGTTTGCTTTTTTTTTGTTCTGGGCAGGGTCTCCCCTGAAGGCTTTCTGGTTCAGGGACAGAGTGGAAAAACATGGTGAAAGAATTTACCTGAGGTTTAAAATAATTTTAAAAAGTTGTTCTCCAAACCAGCTTCCAGATTAAGATACACGGATATCATAGTGACACAGAAGCGATAACAATAGGGGTAAGGTATTCTACTGTTAAACTTTTCATTTCGAATTCTACTTTTTTGGTCAGAAATGCAGTCTGGTTTCAGAAGGGATCTTCCTCCCCCACAACTTTAGGGCTTTAAAAAAAAATAGGGGAAGGAGCATCTGAAGAAAATCAGTTCCTAGTAGATTTATACTGAAATAGATGTTGCATTTATTTTAGTCCTTAGATAGCAATAACTACAATTGATTTTAAAGCGTTCTCAGACTTAGCAAAAGTAGTCTGCAAACCCTTGGAAGTTAATAAAAATAAATAAATAAAACTTGGTGAATTTTGGATCGGACCCTCCAACAAGCCAGACATCAGGATCTGGCACAGGGCTTTCCAGGCCTCGAGGGAGTTGCTCTCAATGTGCACTAGCGTAAGTGACGGCACAGATTTGGTTCAGGGCTCGCACTGCACAAAGATATCCAGTCTCATAGCAACAAAGGATTCCAGAGGACTTCCCATTTGGGAGGAAAGAGGTACTTGGCGATATTGCATGCTGTACTAAATATGATTCAGCCTGTTTCTTTTCTATTTCCCAGAGAGCTTCTAAATGTATTTTCTAAACACCTTTCAGGCAGGGTGAGCTTGCTCAAAAACAGCCTTTTTAACTTTTTAACTTGTCACCTACATAGAGGCTTATAAGATTTTAGAGCTAACAGAAATAACCAACGTAGCCTTATACGAATAAGTCTTGCTTACAGACTTTTCCCTACGCCAGTTTGTCAGAGGTAGCAGATAGGCAAGATTCTGCCCCGTTGCCAGCAGAAGAAGCCATGCAATCTGTTCCCTAGCTCCATGGGTCCTGAGGGATCTGCAGGAAGTCAAAGCCACTTGAGTAGCAGTCTCAAGTCTTTGCTGTAGTTTGGGGCCTGTGTATTCTTCAGCAGTACAGATGCAAAGCAGCCACATGTTGCCTAGATAATGTCTCCGCAGGTCTGCCACCAGGGACCACATCTTAAGGCTGCATATTCTTTTCCACTTAAACATTAATGATTATGTGCACCCATTCATCTACACAGGGAAGGAAATAGCTCTATGTATTCCACTTTGTAGCATTCATTTGTATTTCACCTCTCTGCAGGAAGTGGGAGAGCCCTACACCTGGGGTATTGTCCAGGGACAGTGTAACAGCTGGGTCTTCCCTGGGCCAGTCAAATGTTGGCCCACCCACCTGTTTCTGGGCTAACCACCTGCCTCTCTCACCTGCCATGCCTTGTTGATACATAATTATGATGTTAATTAGGCAGGAAGCTGCTCATTTCCCCACCCCAATGCCAGGGGGCACCATCTATGGCTCTGTTCCCTACACCGCAGCCCAAGCCTTGCAGGTGTTCCCTCCAGCTAGCTAGCACTGGGACCCCAGCTCCAGAGTCTCACTGGGGCTTGCTCCCCACTGGAGCTCCTGGTCCCAGCACCCTCACACCAGGTTTATTCAGCACGCACACAAACAACATATACCAGGTCCCATACTCACATGCTGGGCTTCAAGACCGCACATACGCTCTCAGGTCTCTGAACTGTGTCCCCAAGCCCTCCCTGGCCCCAAGAGCTTCCTTAATAGCTCCCCAAGACTCAGGGCCCCACCCCCTGGGGCTTCACACTGGCTCCCATATGCAGCCTCAGACCTCCACCACAGAGTCTGGGCACTGCCACAGGTCCCTCCACCAACCTGTGCCCTGCCTCAGTGCTCCCACAGTGAGCCTGGGCCCCCCTTGCTTGATCTCACCCACCAGAGATGTGGGAGCTGGGGTTATTAAGGTACCCTGACCCACCTTTCACTGGGTGGTAACTAGTCTGGTATTTCCAGGGGGCTCCCACACCACTGCAGGGTACAGTTATAGTTCTAGGTTATACCCAGGACCAAGAGCCTCCTAGCCATCCCCATAAGCTCTTGCCCTTACCTCCAGGGTTGTTCCTGCTGCAGCTCAGCTAGGGATGTTTTGAAGGATGTTCAGTGAGTGGGAAACTGTACATTTCAATGACTTGCTTTTTAGAAGCACAAAACAATTGCTTCTGTCTTATGCAGAAAACTCCCTTCCAATTTAGTACTACAAGGGTGCTGGTACATGTTGGGGGGGGTTAGTACTTAGGGTTGCATTCTATGCCCCCTAAATTGAAATGGTGGGTTTTAAAATGAAACCCACTATTTCAATTTAGGGGTTTCCATTACAGTTCTGGTGAGGGGCCCAATCTTTTTTTTTTTTGGCAGAGCCTGCCCGTGGCCAAGGGGTGAGCTGCTGGCAGGCTAAGCAGTCCCTGAGCTGCAAGGGGCCCTAGTCCTTTCCTCAGTGGTGGCAGTGCATCCCAGAGCCACCTGGGTGGGCTGGTAGCAGGCCTGGTGCTGCCCCAGCTTGGAGGTAGCACCTAGCCTGATCCAGCTCTGCCCCGACCCTGAGCTAGGGCAGCATCTGGCCTGCTAGCAGCACCCCCTGGGGAGTGCTGCTGTTGTGGAAGGTAGGACCAGGGTCCCCGTAGCTCAGGGGCCACTCAGCCTGCCAGTAACTTGCCCCATAGCTGTGGGAGAGGCAGGCAAGCTCTGCCAAAAAAAAATAAACAATTGAACCTCTCACCACTTTTGCCTTCAGCCAGGGCCTGCTAAAAGCAGACGTTGTGAGGGGCCTGATCCTTTCTTTCTGCAGAGCCTGCCTGCCTCTCCCGTCGTCAAAGGGTGAGCTGACAAACAGCTCCAATGCACTGTTGCAAACTAAACTACATCGCAAACTGGTTTAGTTCAAACTCATTTAAAACCCCCAGAACTCCTGCACATGTACAGCATGATGCCATTAAGCCACACAAAGGGGCACTTTTGTCACATGTACATGGTAATGGCATCATGTGTACAAGTGCCCCAGAGCTATAAAACCATGTGGAAGAACTCAGTTCAATTCTAGAGGTCTTAAAGTTTTTAAATGGAAAACTATTCATTTATTTCCTGTGAAAAAGTCTTATCAAATGTAATACATTTTCCCTGGTGACAGAGGAGCAGTAGCCATTACTACATCCACCCTCCCACCTGCCAAATTCCCAAACCCTAAACCTTACAAAGCCAGTTGGGGGTGGGGCATGCCGCTTTCCTCCCCTGCATCTGGATTGGAGGTGCACCATGCCACCTTTCCCCCTGTGTTTGGATTGTGACAGGTCCATGCCCCCTTCAACACAGGGATGTGGTTGGGGCTGGGCCACACCCCCTCCTGCCCTGCCCCCAGCCAGGTCACTCCCCCTTCCCCTGCAGGGCCGGATTGGGGCTGGGCTCCCACCTCTTTTCCCCTACACGTGCCTGGATGGTGCCCGCCACGTCCGCCTCAGCTGCCAGATTGGGGCCATCGGCTGTATCTGGCCTGCGGATGGACTGGGTACTGCCCATCCGGCCTGTTGGACAAGAAGATTGAGCACCCCTGCACTAGTCCATGATCATTTGAAGATGTCTCCTTTTCTTGTCTATAATCATCCTTTGCAATTTTAACTGTGTCAAATGGCACTGAGGAAACAACATGGTTCTAATCTGGTTCATGCAATATAGGCCAGATTTACGCCTGGCCTAACACTGCTTATTTTGATGCAGTTACACCAGAGATGATGTTAGCCCTATATTCATTAATGAATTTGGAACCCACTACTAGCTTTAAGTCATACAAAAGAAAGCAGAAACAGATCTATTATTAGGTCTTCTAGTTCAAACCTTTGCTGATACGTGATCGCTCCCTACTGAATTTTATTTAGTTTACTTTTAAATTAGTCAGGTAATAGGTCTGACACTAGTTATTTTAGGATGTTATTCCAACCTAACAGCTCTCTTATTTGTGATGATTCTCCCAATTCTTAAAATAACATCTCACTTGCTCAGTTGCACCCTGTTACTGCTTCCCCCATAGTTTTGGCTTTCACAAGAGTATTTTATTGTCCTTCCCATCTTCCATTTTAATCTGGCCAATGTAGCAGTCATATTATATAAAATGCATATTAACTAATTATTCTAGTCTGTCTATAAATTAACTCTGCCTGCCTTCAGGTCATTTTCATTATTGTCCTCTACATCCTCTACAATTTCTTTGGTACTGGGATACTCAGAATTATTTATGTTAATCTAAAAATTGAACTGAATGTTCCCCTTTTGTAAGTCAGGGTTGTTATA